TGACTCGGTGGCGCAGAACAACCTAGATTGTGATGACTTCACCAGGGAGTGAGAGGGAGAGCTTGTCACGCACGATGAATGGAGCGTCAGTGTAGTGATGTCAGTGAGGTGAGTGGGCGCAAAGCACCCAGCTGCAATCCAGTGCGGGATCAAAGCAATGTGATGGGCACAGTGGTGTTTACTTCTACGCATGCTGTGCATGGGCAGATAACCGTTCATTCGTAAACATCGACTTCGTGGAGCAACGCCCGTGTCGTAGGTATATACATAGCAAGAAAAGCAGAATCCGGGGAATTGATGCAATTGCATGATAATGACAGCCATGAGCGGAATACATGTCCAGATGGAGGCTGGAAGATCCATGGCAGGAATTGGTTCCGCATCCCGCAGAGCAAAGATCCAGTCGTGTGAGGAGAATGAGAAACGAAACCCAATTTCCCAATTAACGTACATAAGATCAAAAACAAAGAAAATCCGGGTAGTAAATGCTCCTGTGGGCTGCTCCGCCAGGCTGGGAGAGGTATGGGTCCATGGCTTAAGTCCCAGGGAAACAAATCTGTCCGGATGCTTTTGGTAATGGCAAACTCCCTACGGTACCCAGAGGGTAGAAGATGGATCCATTAAAACATTAGAGTGGCCAGACTCCAGAGCACCATCCAGTAGCTTGGAAAGAAGGGGTATCTCCGGGATCGGTATATCGACGCAGGAACAAGGACAAGGCCGTCAATGGAGATGGACTCTATCTTGTACTGTACCTAGAGGTGCCAGACTGTGGATTGCGTGACGATTGAGGTTGTTGCGACAGGGGATATTCTGAAGGAGAAATGTTAGTTGTGGAGTCGCGCAACGACTGCAATGACTTACGACGACCGTCAGAGGCAATGTAGTAGCCAGGAGCGGCTGCTGTGGCACTAATGGGGCTTAGCGATAGACCAAATAGGGTTCGTCATAGTAACCAAAATACCTTGGAGTAGCGTACTGGGTCGCTTGGGTGGCCGGCTGGCGTCCATAGGGGTCTGGGGTCTGCGCTGGGTAAGAGGAATAAGCAGACTGCGCAGGGTAATCCCGTCCGCTGGGCTGTTGGTAAGATGAGTACGGGTCCGCTGGCTGGGTCCTGGGAGCAGCAGAGACGGAGGAGGCCTGGTATCCTGGATGCGAACTTCCATACGCGGATGTGGGAGTCGTGGTATAATGGGGATCACTGCTACCATAGCCTGAAGACGCATACGTTGTCGCTCTAGACGACGTTGACGACTGGCGAGGTGGCTGGTCATAGGGATCCGCCGCCGACTTGGGCGCACCGTGTTCATACGGTTTTGTCGGACCCCAATGCTGACGAGCAGCATGTGTACGAGAGTCTTGGTAAGCGACTAATGAAGCGTTAGAGCCCCCAGATACCTTAGTAGTGCGCACTTGAGGACTATGGCTACCTCCACGTCCGACGTCGCCAGGCTGGCGCTCCTGTTGCCAGCGCTGAGAGTCCATCTTCAAGTCCTGAATCATTTGCTGGGGGTTCGTTAGCGAAGTGCGCGAGCACCGTCCGACGGCTCAACCTACCGAAGTGAGAGTGCGGTACGCGGTTATCCAGTAGCCTGGCTGGCCCTGTGAGAGAGTTAGTTTTCCGTCGTACTGGCATCGAGGAGACATGTGCGGACCTGGTACTCTCCGGTGCCTGTGCCGGGCCTGACAAGCGCATCTGGGCCCAGGTAGCGCTGGATGTCGGCGGTGATGACTTCTCTCGCGATGCCATCGCCTGGCACAAACCACTGATTTGCGCGCGACATGGTTATTGAGAGGCGTGTGTGAAGGGGATGAAAAGAAAGATGACAGTGATGTCAGTCCTGGGATGGGGGCCAAGCTATGGGAGCTAAGATGGAGGGGCTCTAGGCAACCAAGATACGGGCAAAAGCAGTCCTGGGAGTCCGAGGGCTGAGGTGTCCAGAAAGAGTCCAGGAGGGAGGTGTTCAGAGATGCAGGACGCAGAAGCGGGGTTTTGACCAATATACCGGCACCTTGGGGGGTCTGGCCTGTGACAAGAGTGGACCTTGACGGCGTGGCTGGATGCAGCTTCCTGGTGGGGGCGGTCACAGCAGGTACTCGGAAGTAGAGGGAACTAAGATCCAAGCACTATGCGCACTCTGGCAGACAATGCGCAGCGTACGGGCGACGGGAAGAGTACTTTACTGAGTGCTCAAAGAGTCGAGGAGCCGCAACTGAAGAATGGCTTGCAGCGGGCGCGGGGGGTGATTGGCCGTTGGGGTGATGGCGGTGATGCAGGTCAAGCGGTTGGGCAGCACGCTGAGAGCAGGCTGGTGACACTGGTTTGGCGGATTGATGCAGGCTGGTTTCGTCGAGATGCGATCGATGGGAAAGCAGCAGCGGGAGGGAAGAGAAAAGAAGACGAAAAGAGCGGCGTACCGTCGGCAGCCGAAGTAATTATTCGGATGGGCCAGCAGTCTCCATAGCTCGAGCGTCTGGTGCGCATTCGACGGTGTGGAGACGGACCTGGGCAGCCCTCAGGTGGCGTCGCTTGGGCAGCAACTGCGAGGGTGCCCGAGACCAGCCTGACCCTTCTGAGCCCTAGTGACGGTGATGCAAACGGGCATCGTCGCTTGTCAGCAGGGACTTGTTTCTTTACCGCGCGCGCTGCTAGCCGTGATTGGACAAATTAAAGCCATTTGCGCTGCTCGACGAGCCCTTCAAGGTTTGCCGGCGTGTGGAGAGGCTTTCGGGGCTAGCCGCTGGTGTTTTTACAGACATTTCTTACCTGTCCGCCGGTGAGCCCTGCATCATCACCCCCAACAACAACCAAGGCCACGCCCTGGTCGCTCGCTTCGGCCATCTGTGACGTTGTGCGCCCAGCGTCGGTCGGTCCAGAGAGCCTTCACCGACTCGCTGCCGCCGCTCCAACATGCCACTCTCTCGGGCGCCGCCACTTCATCAGCGGCCGAGCCCAGCACGACGATCTGTCGATACATCACGGCGCTCTCTGCTTCTTGACAGCATCATGGCCTCCGCGGCCAAAACGGAGTGCAAGCCCATCCTCGAGCGTGCAGAGCCTTCAAGCACGGGCTGCCAGTAGGAACACTTCCCTCTACCGCACACTAGGGCTCCATCTCCTCGTGCTTCCTCGTCGTGGCTGGTTCTCATTAGTCCAAATTCCAGACCTACCGCTCCAGCGCAATCTTCGTCAGGCACCCATCAGGTCCAGCAGCTCCGCCAGCACAGCACGTGTTTTCGTGTCACCTCATGCGCTGCGACGCTCAATGATGCGCATCTCTTGATTGCACGCAGCCTGCCGTGCTGCCCAAGCCAGCACCCTCCCGATTCTGCAATGGCCACCGTGATGGAACTCTATATGTTCACTACTAGTAGTGGTCTCTGTCATTTCCACTTGTTCCTGTCAGATTAAACTTTAAAGTCGTCGGCTTTTGTTCTCGTGGTCGAGAACTTCAGACGAAAAGAGCAGGAGCATCGGCATAGGCGCCAGCCCGACATCCAGCCATCACAGCATTTCCGTGCTACGACATGCAGCCCGTGGTCATTGCGCCTCGAGCCACTTTCTCAATGGGTTTCATCTGAATTCCTTCCGCTTAATTGACATTGTCATGGTGGAACAGGGTACCCACCGCTTTCTTTCTTCTCCGTTGCATCCCCATCCGCCGGTGTCAGGGTAGCCGACCCACCAGTTGAACTCCATCCAAACCTCGCACGGCATGTCCCTCATCTACCACATCGTCCCCAACATCCCAACATAGACAGTGCATCCCAGTCCGGCCATCTCGGACCCAAGGATGCGCTCTTCCGCTGCTTGGCCGCGCAGTCGACCGTCACCTTGGGCGCTGATGCTTCCGCTGTTGTCACGAGCGGCCCGAATACTCCCGGCAACTGCGTTCGAAGATATAAGCGCGTGGGGGTAATCGTATGTACCTCTCTTGATGCATTGCATCTCAGTGTACCTGATAATCTGTACATATTGCGTTAATGACGCGCAATAGACATAGCAGAGACCTTGTAGTATAGTACCAGTAGTAGCATATCAATACCAAGTCAACGTATATCACAATCACGAGTTCACGCGATTCCCGCGACACATCTAGGATACCTTCTCCGGTCGCGACGATCTCACTCTGTTCAGCTGACCGCTTACGAATACCTTTAGGCTCATGATTCATCCGACCGCTATAATACTCTGCCTGATACTCTGCCGTGCGTGATATTGGGCACTGATGAATTGACCAAGCAACGGTGTCCTCTTCAACTCCGGGTTCGCATTCTTCCCTCTTCTCCCGAGATGATGGATCACGTCCATTATCCTCCAGTGAAGGCTTGCGGAGGAGTACCGTGTCATCATCGAGACAATCAATCCAGTCAACAATTGGACATTGCCTGTCGAGCTGAGGCATTCACGACGCGTAATCGGGCTTCACGTAGAGACGAGGTTGGGGATTTCTGTTGGGCGTGAAGAATCATCATAGTCTAGTCTAATGTGCTATTTGAAGTCGTAATCGTATCTCTCGTCTCGAGGGCAACTGCCGACGTCGTATCCAAGTCCGCAGATTTGGTAAACAAATCGTATCCCGCGGCGGGAGGTTACATGTCCATCGACGCTCGCAGCTCGCAGAAAGAAGCAAATTTCAAGGGGGGTATCTGGGGTATAAACAGTCTGGAACGACAGGCCGGAGCCTAAACAAAACGCCGTCGTAGATGCTGTGTCCCAGCACATTTTTTTTTTCGGAAAGTAGCAATGGGTATTTTCGTCCGGGGTATGCAATTTCGTGAAGTAATGAAAGAAAGGAAAAGCATTAAAGTGAGCGCCGTCGTGACGCTGCTGGAAAGTTCAACTTGGTCGTATGGCTGTCGAAGCGTGATCTTCCCATAATGTCGTAGATGTCATCAGACTGATGATGGACGGCGAGCGGTGAGACGCGTTCGGTAGATCATCAAGGTTCGTCGAAGGTGCGAGTCTTCATACCAAGTGCCAGTTGTGACCAGCAAGCTCAGTAATGAGGCTCGACCGGGATACCAGCCAAGTCCTCGAGGAGAGAGATAGCCGCAGACATGCGTCGCGCAATTTGTTCGGACACCCACGAACCGCCAATGCCCATACCGATGGGAACGACGCCGAAGAGGTGGCGACCATTGCCGTAAGCTCCACTGCGAGTAGCCACGTTTCCGTAGCCACCACCGAAACCGACACCGTTCGCGTTCTTCCACGCAGCTAGCTCGGCCTCTTGAACGAGTGCGTAAAGCGCCACAAGGATCGCGACCAACCAGGGGATCCATCCCATGAATCCAATCTTCTTGGACGAAGCTGCGACTGGGCGCTGATATTCGGGCTGATGAAGGGCCTGCTCGACGGGTTTGACTTCGCGGGTGACCATGACGGGAGTGATGCGGTTGGTAGGCTTGGTGATGGCAACCTGGGTGTTGGGTTCGACGGGCGTCGTCTCGAGAGCCGCCTGAGTAAGAAGTTGGCTCGTGAGCGCAGGCGCGTCGGTCTGCACGGAGAAGTCGGTGGTGGTTGCGGGTGCGTCAGTTTGGGTGGAGAGCTCGGCGGTGGAGTTCTCAGGCGCAACTGGACTGGTACTGACAGATCCAGTTGGGCTCAGCGCGAGTGTAGGAACGGCGGGCTCTCTTGGCGCAAAGCTGGCGATCTCGTCTCCAAAGAGTGTAGAGGCAACAGACACAGGACTGGTGGGTGAAACGCTCGTAATCTCTTCCTCGTACATGGCGAAACGCGCCTCAGCAGGCACCACAGGCGCATAGCTGGCGATGTCCTCTACACCGTACAAGGAAAGTCCAGCGCGAGCGGCGTCGACGGGCTCGGTGCTAGCGATGTTCTGCACGTCCTGGAAGGAGAGCGCAGGGCGCACGAGTTCGATCGGCTCGGTGCTGGTGATATTCTGCGGGCTGAGGGCCAAAGGCGAACCAGCAGGCTCTATGGGCGTATAGCTGAAGACACGGCGCACGTCGTCGAGGGAGTACGGACCGCGAGTGAGTTCGATGGGCGCGGTGCTGATGGCAGTCGGCGTGCTGGTAGTCAAGACCGCACCAACAGGCTGCTCCGGGGCGCAGTTGAAGATGTCGCGCACGTTGTAGAAGGAGAGCGGAATGCGCGCTGGCTCAGCGGGCGGGCTGCTGGCGGCTTCGCGCACCTCAAGCGTTTGTAAAGGCGACCTCGCGGTCTCGGGCTCGGTGCTGGCAGCTTCGCGGATGTCGACGGTTTGTATGGGCGACTTCGCAGCCTCGGGCTCGGTGCTGGCGGCCTGGTGGACGGGGCTGGTGGACAGCGATGTTGGCGATGGGTCGCGCGGTTCGACGCTGGCGGCTACGTGGATCTCGGAGGCAGACGATGGCACATAAGGCTCGTAGTCGCTGGCATCGGCTGCGATCCAATCATCGTCGTTGATCCCGGAGTTCTCGAGCTCTGCTTCAAGGGTACCCTCCATGCTGCCGATGTGGCGGTCATCGTCGACGGGCGAAGCAGCGGCGGCTCGAGCCTTCTCGTCGAGCTCGTGGCGGTTGCGCTCAATCTCCTTCTGCAACAGCGACTCGAGGTGGCTGATGCGCTCATCCTTGACTTCGACGACCCGTAGAATGCGCTCATGCTCGGCGTTGGCCTCAGCGATGTCGCCCTGGAGGTTGTTCTTCTCCTCAAAGTTGATGTGCTCTTCGAGTGTCTCCTTCAGCTCGGCGATAGTTTCCATTCCTTCCTGCCATTGCGCCGTTAGATCCTTGAACTGCAAGTTCAAGTCTTCGAGCTCCACTTTGTACTCGTCGCGGTCGGCGAGGGCGGCTCTGACATTTTGTTGCGCTTGCTGGACGTCGGCGTGGAGGTTCTCGATCTGCTTGCGGGCCTCGCTGAGGGCCGTCTCGTTCTTCTGGAGCTCTTGGGCAAGTTTTGCGTTGCGCGTCTCGAGGGTGTGGGTCTTCTCCTGCTCTTGCGCAAGCTCCGAAGTGCTTTGATCGAGCTGGAAAGTGGTGTCGACGCGCTGGCGCCGTAGGTCGGCGAGGTCGTTGTTGGACTTTGTGAGTTGTTCCTTGAGTCGATCGTGCTGCGACTCAAGATTGCCGTATCGGTCGTATTCGCGAACAAGTGACTCCTTGTATTCGTCGCGGTCTCGCCTGATCTGCTCCACAGATTCTTCCTGCCCCGACATGTTGTGGTCGCTCTCCTCCTCCACCAGTCGCGACAAATCCTTCTCTTTAAGCGTGGGTACTTGCTTTGTTGTCGCAAATGCCAAGACACCGCTTCCGGAGTTAGCGCCCTTGTCCCCAGCCCCCGGCCCCGGGAAGACATCCAAGCTCAAGCTCATTTTGGCGCCAGCGCCAGTTGGTCCCTGAGCGGGGGGTAGGGGCTTGGAGGGAGGGAAAAAGTGGAAAGGGAAGTAGTCGCTTTCCTTGCCGAACTCCATCTTCTCGCCGTCCATTTTGAAGGTAGTTGTTTGTTTGAATTGTGAGTATGAAGATGTAGTTGTGAGTAGGGTTTGAAGAGAAAGCAAGAGATGGAAGCAGAGCCTCAGGACGAAAGATATATGGCAACTGCCAGTCGAGTGCTATTGTTCAACAGATGGCACGACTTCAGCTTCCTGCTATTGTATCCGGCTATTGTGTCTTGGAAAGAGCAGCTCCAGTCTAGTGAAGGTGAAGACGACTTGCGTCCATTCACGGTACGCGCGATAGTCCTCAATATGGCCGAGGACTACATTGAGTATCACAGTCATTCTTTAAAGGACTGTAGCGAAATGTCGCTTCCCGGCCTGTACTTCAAGTTTGATTCTGACTATCTCAGCGACAAGGTAGCTTCCCAGCTTGTATTTCAACTTCCATTCTACCTACATCAACCTCCTAGTCGTCGGCAAACACTATCTTTGTCCCCACGAACAGCGAGCATGGCTGCGTTGTCTCCACCCAGTCGTCGCTCTTATTCTTCTTCTTCGTCAGTCGCCGCCATTTCTCAATATCATATCTCGCCATCGGACAGACTGGATCTCTGTCGTGATGTCTTTCCTCACACTTCCAACACTTCGGGGGTCGTCTAGCATGCTTGCCCGGCCCCTTCACTTTGACCACTTTTCCCCTTGTTCGTCTCGGAACGTAAACCATTCCCTGGGTAGGCGCTTTGTGCAGTTTCAGCGGCGCTGAGAACTGCCACTTGAGTGACTTCTCCAGATCTTTCTTCCATAGCTTTCCCACATACTCCATGTCCGTGTGTAAGAAATGCGACACGCAACAGAAGTCAGCAATGCGTCGATGTAGCATCGTGATGCAGTCGCTTTCGAACTGCGACATGGGTATACCCATTGCTGTCTCTCGTCGTTGTTTCAGCTTTTGCGCCTTCTCTTTTGTCAGAGCTGCCGCCAAAGCTCCCTTGTTCTCTGTGTACTCAACCATGCGTCTTAGCTCCGTCATGCCGAACGCTTCGTAGATGATCTGTTGGCGAATCTCGGAAGGCAGGCCGAGAAGACTGGCTTTTGGATACGAATGTTGAAATCGGCCTGCCGGAGCCATGATCCAGGGATAGATCCATAGTCTTACAGCGCGTTCGCGTGCGATCTGTTTCCTTGCTCCTTTCCGCAGGGTCCGACATTCGATTGTGTTGGCGATGTTGTATCCTTTCTGGTTGAGCTCCCGTCGACGTTTGAGTCTTGCCTTTTCGCGGTGATTCTTTCTTTTTGACATGGTGTAACAGTCTATGTACGATGTGAGACTGGTCGCCTGGGGTAGTCGTAGATGGTGCGCGCTCTATATTTCGGCAGCTTGAGGCGACTTCCGACGAGATTGTTGCCGTGCCAGAAGCTTTGAGAATTGTGAGGTTGTTGTGGTATCGATCCGTAATCATCAAACGGTCCCTGGATGCAGGTGCGTGGACCCTGTGCTAACCGCAGGCGGTGGCGAGGCTCGACCCTTGCGCTATGCGTCACAGTGACTCACAAGCATGTCAACAAAGATAATTTATTAAAGACGTCCTATTCTCCATTTGTCTCTGGTCGGAGGTGAGACACTAGTAACAAAAAAGAGTACCGAGCGGGGTACCCGAAGCCTACGCGACATGTCTCCCGACATCCAACAGATTCCCATCATCAGGCCCAGTGAACTTCTTCCTTCCAGTCATGATCCAAAATATCAAGCTGATGAACATGACCACTCCTGTCGCCGCGGAAGTGTAATTCATGTTCTCGCTCGTCACAGGCGTGACACTAGGTAGGTTGGACACAACACAGATGAATCCCAGATACAAGAACCCGATAATGTTGAGAACAATGCCCCAGCGACCGAGTGAGTACGGGCCTTCCAATCGAGTCTTCTTGCCGGAGAAGTGGGCGAGAATGCGGGAGAGCAAGGGCATTAGATACGACAGGTAGAATCCTTGTGTAGCGATGGCGATGATGGTATTGAAGCCGGTCGTGGTACCAAAGTAGATGGAGTTGAAAGCCATTTGGACGACGGCTGTTAATATAATGGCGTATACCGGCACCGATCTTGTTGAGATCCTGCTTAGTACATTGGAAAAAGGGAGTCCGTTGTCTCTTGCAAAGGCGTATACGGCTCTTGAACCCTCCGCCATGAGCGAATTGGCGCATACTGTGGCGATGATAGCGATCATAGATGCTAATGTAGATGTTCCGGCCACACTGTTCGTGCTATTAAATATGATGGCGATGACAGGTACTCCTGTCGCGGTAGCACCCGTCTCCTCGAGATCGCCAATGCAAAAGCACAAGGCGACTAGCCAGACAAATCCGGTGAAGAAGCCAATGTAAACCGACATGACTATCGCGCGGGGAGCTTGTTTCCGGGCGTTCTTGATCTCCTCGGTCATGTGCGATGGCGCATCGTAACAGCACATTCCGAACGCTGATTGAAGTAGCCCCAGGCATGTAGCATATGGCGCGTTCCATCCGGTGAAATTCTCGAAGTCGCTGAATACGTAGCTCGCCGATTGCTTGTGATCGTTGGTGACCAGAATGGTGATGAGACAGACGACGAAGGAAGTGAGATTCCAGATGAAGATCGCTTTCGAAAGCTTGTTAAGGATGTGTGGCAGGTAGATGTTAGATGCCGCTGCAATGAATGTGATGAGATAGGCGATGAGTACTGTATGCCATCGCTCTATCGTGAAGCCATAATTGAGCTGGGCGGTACCGAGAATGAAGTTCGTAGCGACGAAGTTGTTGACTGCGCCCATGCATATGATTCCGATCAGCATGAACCTGTTCATGTTAGGAAGTTATTGAGCAGTCATCTTGAAGAATACTCACCATCCACAGAGATAACTCATCGAGCGAGCCCAGCGTGTCGGTGCCAGGATAGCCACCCAAGAGTACTGCCCACCTGCAACAGGGTACCTTAATGACCGTCAGCTCAGCCATATAGTCAGGCGCAGGCGTACATACGCGCTACACATCTCAGCCATTGAGTACGCAACAGCAAGTGTCACAAGGCAGACACACAGCCAGCCCCAGATCATGACTGGCGGCCCACCCGATTCAACACCAATGATGAGTACACCAGAGAGTGCGGTCCATGAAGTCACAATACTGAACGAGAAGCCGACCATCCCAAGTAGACCAAAGCTACGCTTCAGCTCTGTGAACGCAATCAGTACACGTTCGCAATTATGGCTTTGTGAACTTACCTTGGGTATATCCCAGCTGCGCCAGCACATCATCGTCGCTGTTGGCCTCCTCCACGATCTTCTTCTCTTCTGGGCTGTGCGCCATCTCTACCATCTCGATTATCACAAAACCGACAGAGAGAAGGTCAATAAAAGACTGCGAACATGCGAACAGCCTGGAAGCGATTGTTCAAGTGTTACTTAACCGCATACATATACCTGTCAGGGTATCGCGCAAACCCGTTTCTCGCAGCCATTGAACGACATGGCGCCGTCAACGGCCGAACCCTGCGTCATCGAGATAACGAGCATCTGCCCCAGGTTGTGATTCCATTTCGGGAAGCCGCCAAGCATCTCGTACATGTCTTATCGCGCATCAAGCGCGTGAGTGGGTTGGTCAAGATAGGAAGCGGAAGCGGCATGAGGAGCAACCGGGGTGCTGGTAGAAGTGGGGTATACGCGATCAGATACATGGTTGGCCGTGGAATGTGTTCAAGGCTGTGAGTCTCAAGCCTTCAACACTGCTGAAGTCAGGGATTAGTCTATCGCGTTGTAGACTCGATGTACGAAGAGGTGTTGCGGTGATGATGTGGCGCAAAAGTTGAAGCAGTTGCGGAAGGAGTGGAGATGCATAGGTACCTGCCGATCCCGATAGCCGGCTATCACAACCCGACGCGATAGGATTACTCAAGACAATACAATAAATACACGAACGCGACAGACTGCCGCGCGGAGATGCGATGCTAAATTACTTCAACACCGCGATGTATGCACAAATGGATAGCGACATGCCCACCATCTCAACACCTGCATCACACCTGGGCATCATCACGGCATCAATTCGTTCCTGGTATACACTCAGTAGCATAAAGCTTGCGACTACAAGACCATGACGTCTCAAATCCCCACAACAACACCGTATGCCTGGCCACATAACTCAACCCTACATCCCACAACAACCGCTCTCGTTATCATAGACATGCAACGCGACTTCCTCTCCCCGGGCGGCTACCTCTCCTCCCAAGGCTACTCTCTAGCCCGTTTCAAGCCACTGATTCCCCGCATCGCATCCTTACTGTACACGTTCCGCCGCGCAGGCTTCCCCGTCGTACACACACGGGAAGGTCACGATCCCTCGCTAGCAACAGTCAGCAGTAGAGAAGCCCATCGGAGTCGGGTCAACGGCGCGCAGATTGGGAGCCAGGGTCCATTGGGCCGTCTATTGATCCGTGGTGAGGAGGGGCATGAGATCATTGAAGAGCTGAAGCCGGCGAAGGGAGAGCTGGTTATCGATAAGCCCGGGCGAGGGGCGTTTGCGCATACAGAGCTTGACATGATGTTGAGAGCGAAGGGGGTGAAGAATTTGGTGGTTTGTGGGGTCACGGCGGATGCGTGTGTGAGTAGTACGGTGCGGGAGGCAAGTGACAGGGGATTTGATGTGCTGGTTGTGGAGGATGGCGTAGAAAGTGTTAGTGAGGAGTTGAAGAGGTGGAGTTTGGAGAGTGTTAAGGTTGAGGGAGGGTTGTTTGGGGCGACGGGATGCTGTAAAGAGGTGGAAGAGGCGGTGGGAAGCTGGATCCAGAAAGGGAATGACAATTGAAGTGAGCAGACTGCACTAAACGACATACTTGGTCAGTGTACAGAGAAGCTCATACAGCATATTTTGCCTTTACTTCACCTCGAGAGGATTTTTGCTGCGCGTATCAACACCGCCTCAAGGTACCTTTACCTTGCCCTGCGCGCCCAATCTGTATTCAGCTCTTGCTCGCTCAGCGTATCATATACAGCACGCTCATCTCTACATCCTCACAACAACATTGCGTCAAAATCCCAACAAGTACACTCACGACACACTCAGGTATTCCCTCCCCACCTCAGTGCCCACTTCAGCTCTTCAATGCTGACGAATCCCAGCTACAGCGCACCCAACCAACATGGCCTTCATCCCCTCCGAGCATGCGTTCCCCATAAGAGTAAACGCAGTAGAACGCTTCATCGATACCTCCGTCGCCGAAACCACCTTCTGGGAAGACGTCCGAGACGACCTAGAGCCCTGGACCCATTCCAACCTCAACCCAGACCTTGCTCCCATACGCGAAGGTTTCGGTTACGAAGTGCGACACTACTACAAGAGCCCGTCTGACGATGTTGAGATATTCCCAGGTGCCCAGGGTGTGATTGTGGGTGTACCGCCGCCGGATTGTGGTCATGCTAGAGGCTATGCAAAGGTCCATGTTCCTGAACTCGACCAGGTCAAGATCGTGCCGATGGTCATACTGCGGGCTGGCAATGTTCACATTGAGGATCGCAAGTTGTACAACGAGATCATCAGTCGCCAAGGTATACTCGCTTCGAAGAGTGGACAGCCGTTTGACCAGCTTAATGTGGTTACTCAAGCGTACCTCTTGGCTCTGGCTGCGACCAACGTGGAGAAGTGTTAGTGGACCTGACGAGATGGCGGTCGGAGGATGCCAAAGTGGAAGGGAATTTGTCTAGTCAGATACTGTCTAGTGTAGCAAGCGATAAGCTGTGCTCGAGGTGAAGACGGCACGACATGAGTCAAGGTCACAGAACAAAGCAATTGGACAGCAAGGTGCATGAATATGTATGCATTGACTGAAGTAGCCAAATGAAGATCGAAGCTTCATATTGATCATTTCCAAACCACCCATGAACATAACGCCGTGAAGACCGATAGCCGTGACCAGATCATATCCATAAACAATGTGTGACCATGCGGACAGTCCCCAACCAAGAGGCCGTAAGAAGCCGTCGATGCCGGGCGCCGATGTGTCGTGACGAGAAGAGGAGATGTTTAACCACCGAAACCGTAGAGGGTACGGCCCTGGCGCTTGAGGGCGTAGACAACGTCGAGGGAGGTGACGGTCTTGCGCTTGGCGTGCTCGGTGTAGGTGACGGCGTCACGGATAACGCTCTCGAGGAAAGTCTTGAGGACACCACGGGTCTCTTCGTAGATCACTGCGGCCATGTTAGAACTTGTCTGGCATGGCGACGAGGTTGGGAATGCTTACTGGCTGAGATACGCTTGACACCACCACGGCGCGCGAGACGGCGGATAGCGGGCTTGGTGATACCCTGGATGTTGTCACGAAGAATCTTGCGGTGACGCTTGGCGCCACCCTTTCCGAGACCCTTGCCACCTTTGCCGCCTACAGAGGTATGTTAGCATGTTGTCTTGTGGTAGTGAGGAATGCCACGACGGCATGGTGGTTGTGTATGAGTGTCGTGATGCGCGGTGCATTAGTGGGGCGACGCGTTGAGCCTCAACACCAAGCGCGCCTCACCGCCATGTGCAGCAGCGGCAACAGCGACGACAACGTCGATGCGAGGGTAATGGAAGAGGAACAAATATGTACTTACGTCCAGTCATGTTGTTGGTAGTTTAGTGGAGATGGAGGAGATGGGTATTGGTATATTACGCGCGTTGGTGCAGCGTAAATGGCGTGGATGAAGATGAAAGCTGGGGGTTGCGAAAAGAGAAGAAAGAAAAGACTCCAAAGACGCGGGTGGGCCGGTTATATAGACGAGGGCGGCGGGCGCGGGTGCCTCCAGATCACACAGAGCCGGAGTGGCGCTAGGCCCGGTCGGGGCGAGTCAGAACATGAAATCAAAGGCCTTGCGCCTTCACATCTGGGGGAAAATCAAAAGCGTGGAAAGCAGCACTTCCAATTCCCACCCAAGCTTGCAGGCGCGCCGGGCTGCTGCTGATGCAGGTGTCGGCGAAATGGCCCGTGCGGGAACTTCAATCGCGGCCTGCCGACGCGACTGGAACACCAACGTGGGATCGTGATAATTGCTCTGCATGCGGCTACAACGTGCTGCACCCTCTCAAAACTTATCGGAAGACTACTGAATATACAAAGAACCTCTTGCAATCTCGAACAATGTTTTGCGCGTCTTGTATCAAATACGGCACGCCTTCTTCACCCCTCCACGACGCGTTCACGCTGTGCACGAACTACACCAACCACCGCAACAAGCAATCGAGAAGGACGCGTTCAGTTCCGGAGAAGGTTCTTTTCATTATCCTGTCTGCTCTTGTCTCTCAAAGTTTATATAAAGTTTATACATCATGTTTCTCGTCCACTTCCTAGAAACATCTACTCGAAGCTTTCACCGCCATGTCACAGACTCTTCAACTCTTTCAACATCTTGATACTTCAATGAACCAGACTTTGGCTTATATCATACCCTTACTTGCTGCTTTCTGAGAAGACGCAGACGGAAAAATGGCGTCATGTCGGTCGCTACCCATCGTTGAGTGGTCGTGTCCCGCTCTTCTCTAGACAGACTTGCTGGTTGCTCATGCGCATGCCTACCAATGCAAACGTATGAGTCACGTAATTCGTATTGCTGCCTGGAGTCACTTTACCCGGCTGCCGTCTGAAGTCCTCAGTGGTCATGTTGGGACGAACCATGTGGCACAAGACGTGTCTACCTACGCTGGGGTTCATCTGCATGGAGAGGGATGCCATTATGGAGCAGCAGTGAGATCGTTAGATTTCGGATTCAAGCGTTAGCAATGAGTAAAGTAAGACTTGCACTTCAAAGCAATGCATCAATACCGTTAATGTGAACAAAAAAAGATTCATTGCGAGAGCTAGCTAATCAACACGGACTATAAACGAGGGGCATGCTACAAACTATCCATCTAATCAGAAGCGTGACATGACCATATCCACTCGCCACTTGTACCGTCCTCCAGGCCTAGAGTAAGCTTTACTTTGTCTCATCGGTCTTCTTGACAGCAGCCTCCTCCTCAGCAGCCTCCTCGTAGACAGGAGGGGCGTCGTATGCTGGAAGCTCGGCGTACTCCTCCTTCTCTCCGCGCTCCTCCGCCTCTTCCACATCCTCCTCATCCAGAGCAATCGGCTGGTATCGCTGGCCACGGACCTTCGCAACGGTAATAGCGATGAGGCATCCAAGAGCCATGCCAACAAGGTATGTGAGTGTACCAGCGAAGATACCGATGAGGATAGGGACGAAGATGGTGAAGAAGGCGCGACGAGCCATCTTGGCGAAGCCGTGGTGGCGGTGTTGGTCCATGTGGTGAGGGTGGTGGTGTGGGTGAGCCTTGCCAGGGCGGAAGCGGTGCGGGGGCTTTCCAGCCATGCCCTCGTGCTCCATGGGGTTGTTGGGACGGGCACCGGCATGGGGTCGCTTGTGGCAGCCGGGTCTAGGCTTGCGCATGTCCTTGATTTGCTCGATGCGGTCGGCCATGATGTTCTTCCACTTGCAGTAAAGCGGCCACTCATTGCACTCCTTGTCTGATGGTGTGGCCGGGCTACGTTCAGCCTCGTTGAAGGATGCGATCATGAGGCGACCCTCCGAGTTCTTCAGAACGTTGATCTGGAGCGCAGGAGGATTGACAGTGGTGCCTTCGACCGAGGTGATTTGGAAGGTCATCGGAAGAAGCTCGGTGCCCTCCTCTGAGATAGTCTCTGCGCCGTCGTAGCGGAACTCATAGCCGGTTATTTGCAGACGTAGACCCTCTTTTGTAGATGGGTCCACCTGTGTGAGAGTGTAAGGTTGGGGAGGGAAGCCGAACGATGGCGGGTATAGTTGGGCGTTGTCGAGGTTCAGAGCGTCGCCATGGGGTCCGACGTCAAAGTCCAGGCGCTGTTGGCTGTTAGCATGTAAGGCTGTGAGGCATATAGCCGACTACGTACGAAGGCACTCCCAACATCAGACTTCCACTTGAGATCTTTCCCATCTAGGGTCGCAACGGCGCATCCAGGGCACTCCAGCGCGACTGATCGCTGGCTGGGGTTGATGGCGAGAGACTCAAAAGCGTGGTCGTCCCCGAGGTCTTCCACGTTCGTCATGGTCGAAGGGATGAGCACGGCGCTGGCGGCCAGCGCCAAATGGGCGAAAACACCCAACTTGCTAGGAGACATCGTGGGTTGTATTCAGGATAATTCAAAGGTTGAAAGGCGAAGAGGTGTTGCAGAACGAAAGCATCAAGGAGGACGAGGGAGGCGGTGCCTCAGCCGTGCATTACGATTGCCGCCGCGTCATCTGTCACGTGAAGGGCCGGACCCTGAAGTTTAGCTGTCAACATGTCGCACGCGTGAAACATTCGCCGAACCAAGCAAAGCAACCAGTGAACCTAGCAAGAAAGTAAAGTATACTTCCAGATTCGAAATGTTAATGCAACATCCTACTGCATGATGTATCGGCGGCTGCCTCCACGTCTGGAGTACTGCGTCGTGGGCGCCAACCGGAGCTTCCCCGACAGTCGGTAATTCGTTTATCCTTCCTACCCGCTCTTTCCACCTCATATGAGCAAGAAGCTGAACAGGCGCCCGCAGCATATATCAATACGATAAAAGCGTTTTGACATGTATAGGCAATTTAGCGCTCTAAGTCATCTATTTCGAGCAAGTGTCTGATCTTTTTCCGAAATGCGGTACTTCGGTCAAACCAGTATAGGCGCGCGCGTGTGGAATTCGCAACGATAAGTATATGTATAGCCAACATGAGTCTCCGGAACCCCTCAGCAGAGCTCGCTGGACGAAACGAAAACTTCATAACAAAACAGTTCAAATTTATATTCAGCTTCTTCGTTCAAGTTCGAGTTCGCAGCGTCCATAAGCAACGATGAGACTCATCGACACTACGACCCTAGAGCTCCGTACTTTCGTGGACGAAACTCATGTACCACCATATGCCATCCTGGCCCACACCTGGGGCGAAGACGAAGTTACCCTGCAGCAGTTTACAGATCGGTCACCAAAAGCGAATGCTTGGAAAGGCAGTCGAGGCTACTGGAAGATTTTGAAAGCCTGTCAACAAGCCCTCAGCGATCGCCTATCGCTAGTGTGGGTGGATACCTGCTGTATCGACAGTACATCCTCCTCGGACTTGGGCGAAACGATCGTCAGCATGTTTCGGTGGTACCAGCATGCAGCAGTCTGTTACGCCTACCTAGACGATGTGAATGTATCGTCCGCGGCGAAGGTGGGCGGAGTCCTCAACTCCAAATACAACAATGACGCGTTCGCCAAGTCACGGTTTTTCACACGCGGATGGACATTACAAGAGTTGATAGCCCCGGAACATCTTCAATTCTATGGCGCAGAGTGGAGATACATCGGCAAGAAGGATTTGTTACTCAAAGAGCTGGAGGGCATCACTGGAATCAGCCAACGCGTACTTTCGAAGGAAAGCGACGTGTTGGATGAGAGCATCGCAAAGCGAATGAGTTGGATGGCTGGACGCACAACAACAAGAGTAGAAGACTTGGCGTATTGCCTAATGGGTATTTTCGACGTCCAAATGCCGCTACACTATGGCGAAAGAGACAAAGCTTTCCTCCGGCTCCAGGAGAAGATCATGGAGAATTCAGAGGACCACAGTCTATTCGCATGGGGAGCACGCCGTTCAGATGTCAAGGGAACACTTTGTCCGATATTTGCTGATCATCCGAGGCAATTCGCGGCTTCGAGAGGCATAGTAAACCGCCATCACTTCGACAAGGATATCAACGAAAAGGATGTAATAGGAGACGATTACGCATCAACACACAACGGTATCAAGATCAAGCTCCGCGTCCGCAGTCCTCTTGGTCCCTGGGGCGCGTTAGCACCTGAAAAAGATGATCGCTTGGCTGTGCTCGAGTGCCGCTTTGAAGATCCAAAACTTGAAGGTTGCTGGCCTGCCATTGCTGTCAGACGGCTCAAAGGGTCCAAGATGGCACAGTATTCTCGCATTGGAGGTACCGAGATCTATCCTGTTGTTTTTGGCGAGGTTAGTAACGCCCAAAAGCGGATGGGCGTTATACCTGTTGGCAAGATGGATGCTGGAGAACGGATCTATCTTCTTCACAGAAGTATGATAGATATTCCTCGGTGGGCTATTAACTAAGCCTAGAGGGAAGGTGCGAATGGTTAAGCTGTGTTGAATATACAACGGTGAAGAACAAGTTTCAAACGGTACTCTCATGATGCGATTCAAACTAAACAATGAGGAATATGACCAACGCCAGAAAGTGCTCAACGCTACATGGTATCTCTTGCTTCCCAAATATCCCAAAATGAACTGAGATCAACAACACAGACCCCAAACAATATCAACCTCCCAAACGCCATGCTAATCATACAATCATGAACCCCAGAACCTTCTATGCTCACATCCGACTAACCTGCACCGGCACTCCCGGATGCATATTAAGCAAATACTGTGGACCAGGCATCGTCCCACCACCATAATGCGTGCGACTCGTATTCCTCACATGTTGCTGCTGCTGCCTCTGTCCATCAGCACCAAACTCTCTACTATCATTCTGCTCCGCACTGTGCCCATACGGCATACTGTTCTCCTCCATCTTGCCCAGCATGACCATCTCATCGCTGTCATCGCCCGTTCCGC